AGAAAAAAATCTCAGATTTATGTTATCTTTCACTTTTCCCAATGCTTTTGATTTCAGACAGACTTGTAAAAAACCCAAAGACTCATATTTTTAAACATAATCAAATTCTTGAGGTGTGAAAAGCAAAAAGATATATCACAGGAGAGGAAAATGAGTAGTATGCATGGTAGTTTAGGAAAAGGTTGGTAAACTGGGCTTCAGGGTATAACAAATTTTGTATTAATGTACCATGTATTCATGTAAAATATGTCCATCTATATTTCTTTTTACAGTTATAGACCTGTGCCTAGAGCGGATTTCAGAGTTTCCCAGCCAAAGTGACAGTATCTTCAATTCTCTTAAAGACTTAGAGTTGTGAGAAAGAGCTTGTCTGTCGACTGCTGGTAGGTACCAACGTGCTGGGAATTTGGATGGGCCAGCAGCATGAGTGGAGGCAGGTAGTTGCAAGGCATGTGATTGCCATCAGTGCACCGTGCAGCAAAGCAATGTGATCCATACAGGCAGAGCAGATCACCAGTGTAAGTAATTTTTAAATTTACATTCTTGAGAAGCATCTCTTTAACTCTGACCTTTGTCACAACATGGCAAATGCACGGTTAAAGCTTTTATGTGAGTGGGTCTACCAAGTGTGCATGATGCCAGTCATAGCGATAGACAGGCATTAGCTCAGATCCATAACCACACCACAGTAAATAACACCTGATATTAGTAGCACAAAAAGAAATTGCACTTCTGCTTTTGCCATCAATAGGATGAGCATGTGGTTAACCTTTGGCAAGAAATTAACTTCTCAGAGACTCCTGAATTCACAAACATACGTCATATACCTTATCTCTTTTTTTTTTTAATAATGAGATTCATTTTTTTCAAAAGCAGTGATTATATAGAAAACTAATGAAACAAAATCTGAAGCCATACACAAGTTTACTGTATTAAGTATCTATGATTATTTAGCTTAGATTTAACTAACACAGTAGGGGAAAAAATTATTTCAAGTATACATCCTTTAAAAAATTATACAAATTAGGTACTTTCAGACAATCAAATCTGATGTAAAGTTAATTTCTCTGCCCCTGATTCCCATCTTCATTAAGTTGAAGGAAAAGCTATAAATCCCAAGGATCTTTGTTCCTGGAGTTTGGCTGAATCTGGGCTGGTAAAAGCTCAATCTTGCCTGATGCCGGAGGGATGCTGCTAGCACGGGGAACGTCTGCTGGGGCCTGAGCAGAGAGGCAATTCATGGTCCATCTGCAGAAGGACAGCCCGTCCTCACCTGCTAGAGTTAACTCAGGGTTTTGCCAAGTCCCAAATGCCTCACAACAGGTTGTGACCTGTGTAGCTGAAAGGTAACGTTGGGTCAGACAAGAGTTAGAGCAGCGCTACTGCCACCGTCACCACAGCTGGGTTTGTCCTGCGATAAGGTTGGCAGCTCCTAATATCAAACTGAGTATGTAGGTTTGTAGGATGTAATTCATCAAGATGTCCTAAAATAATTAGTTGTTGCTTCACTTAACATGTCTGAATTTGCATCTTAAGCTACAGAGAAAGCGTGGCCATTCCTCCTGTCTGAGATGTTGAACCTGTAACAATAACTACGGCCCAAATTACAGGTAAACAGCTAATTCATGCCCTGAATTAAAAATCAAAACTATCTCCATGGCTTTCTTTTTTTTTTTTTTTTTTTTTTTCTGCTGAAAAAAATTGCAAGGTCTTCTGCTTTTCTCCTTTACTTGTTTGATTTTCTAACTTGGAAAAAAAGGCATTTCTCTACAGCAGTGCTGAACACCCCCAAGCAGCAGGGTGTTGCATACCATCTCCAGAGAGCACAGATCACCTCAGCACTCAGCATAAATGCATTTTCCCATGGGTTTTGGCTGTCCCTGTCCCTCACACACTAGCAGCAGAACAGCATTTGAGACACCAATGAGCTCAGCACGGCTTTCCTTGTGACTGTTTGTAGCACTGCTGATGATGTCATGGGAAAAAAAGGCCCAAAACCAAGAAAAAGGCTTTAGCAATGCAAAGAGACTGAATGCCAGGTCAGGACTTCTACTTTGGAGCACTCCCAGCAAAAACACTTATTGCAAACATCATTATGATACAACAGATAATGTCTCTGCTTCTAGCCTACGGAAGTCCCCCAGTTTGCTTTTATGTGCCCAGCACGGCCGGGCGTCAAGGTGTGTGCGTGAGGAGATACAGGGCTTTGGTAGTTGGCTTTATTGCCTTTCATGTATATGTATCTTTCCCTATTGCTTAGGGCTTTGCTCCTGAAATGACACGTGTGAGTAGACTGTGAGGGGTGACTTTGGGCCCCCTGATGCAGGCGTGGGTACACCTGAATAACGATCACGTCAGGATGGGGCTCGGGCAGCACCAGTATGGGTCACTCTCAACCTCACTGTGGGAACTGGGCTGCTCAGGAGGACATCCAGCAACAGTGTCCTTGGGCACAGCAGTTTTGCCTCTCTAAGGAGTGAAGAAATAAGCTTTTATTGTTGTTCAAATGTTGACATCATCTCGGAATTGTGTAGCCACAATTACCCTGTGTGACTAATTTCATTCTTTTCTAAGCCCATTAGTTCCAAGGATCTCATTAGGCAAGCAGACACTTACTTGCCTCCCCTTGTATGGCCTTTACCATACCACGTTTGGTGCTCATAAAAGTTGCAATGAGGAAATGTGTTGAATAACACCTCATGCAAAACAGATGGCACAACAACATCGCTGTTCAGACCAGGGTCTGAGTTACCTAGAACAATGTAACTAATGATGATGTAGTCTTTTAACTTACATAGCTTGTTTAACTGTTAATATTTTATTTAGTTTAACTGCTAATATTTTATATAAAAAAAAACAGAGTAATAATCATAGACACAGCAAAATCCAATATCAAATCAAAGCTGCTAGTTAAATAATTCATTAGTTTACAACACCACGTACCATCACATCAGAGTTTCTTCTGAGCCTGGTAAGACATTTCAATTGGAAGTGGAATGGTTTTGAAGCTCTTTTCAAACCCAAAAAGAAAAGCTTCATTCTAACTGCTCAGGGAGTTCACAATTTTGAGGTTTAGTCTCTAAAGAAAAATCTCCATTCAGGCTGAGAAATTTAGCTCATTTGATGTTGAATCACTTACGCATTTTAAGTTGAGGTTTTTGGATGGGACAAAGATTAACAAATACCAGGAGTTTAGAAACAGATGGAGATTTTGTTTGGTCTTTTCTTTTTTCTTTCTTTTTTGTGATGTAAATAATAATAAAGCTTGCAAAGTGCTAGAGCTTCTCTCCAATTGACATGGGTTTTGCTTTACCTCTATTTAAAACTTGGAACAGTAATTTCCCACTTAGCATCATATAAAGTAACTTTCTTTTAAAATCAATATTTTCAGACGTTAGATGATAAAAATCACTCTGAGATCAACACTTTGTGTCCTGAATTAATTAACAGAAAAGCAAATTAATGTACTGCTGTAGCAGAAATCAATAATCTTGAAAATAAAAAGGTTTCTTTTGCCACCAACTCACTTCTGTGGGTGTAGTTAACAATGTGAAATGTTAACGTACAAGAAAAATGCTGTCTCCTTCTTCTACCAGGCACTGGTGGTATATGCAGTACTTGCCTTGGTGATCATTCTACACTCTTGAGAGTAAAAAAGCTTACACTACCCAGTAAAGGAAATAAAATTCAATGGCATCAAGAAACAGTGATCTAATATATATAGGTACATAGACATATGTATTACCTGTCTTCATTCTGCAACAGCTATTTCTTTCTAGCAGCTGTAAATTTAACTCAGTGCTGAGCCTGGTTAAATAGAAAATGGAATAAATGACTGTATTTTTGATTAGAAAACTACTGATGGCAGAGCAGGGAACTTGAAAAAGGACTGAGGATAAAATTGTCTTCTCATTCAGGGACGGAGGTTGGCCTGGGTGAAGCACAGCCCTTCCTCACCGCCCTGAGATGGCAGGGTATCACCAGGGATACCTGTGTCTGTGCATGACATGAAGGAAAACCAGGGCTTAGGTTTAGTCCTACCTAGACTTGTTTATTCAAAGTTTCAAACCTGTCACAGGATCTGACTGACTCTCCTTGTCCTCATGGAAGAAAAATGTTGGTATAAGTTTGTTCCTGAAGAGTTCTTCAATCCCTGAGAAAATAATTAAGAGAGAAAGCCCATTTGGAGAGGTCTCTGGCGTGTTACATGGGTGGCATTACGGGAAGTAAATGAGGTGGCACTCCATTCAGTAATTGCACCAACTCTGGGCAATGAGTTGGTTTGCAATCGCTACTGCTTCTGTACCAGGGGCATAATAAGCAACAAAACCTCACTGCTAATTGAGGAGAGTAGATTCTCTAAGGTACAGGTTAATTCTGTTAGTCATAGAAAACAGCTTGACAAAAAAGTAACATTTATCTGGCATCTGTTGTGAATGTGACCAGAATAACAGATAGCCTGCAGCATTTTATTAAGCAGCAGGTAGTCTCTCACTGATTTCTTCTCAGATACCATTTTAAAACTCACCTTTTACATGGTTTTCACTTAGTAATTCTTTGAACCTAAAAATTAGAATTAAGGTCTAATTCTATAATCTCCTACTCACAGAGGTAGCTCTTAATGCCACTGAAATCAGGGGAAGTAATTTCTAAAGCAAGAAGTAGTTATGTGAGATGGGGACCAGACCTATTCTCAGGCAAGGACCACAGTGTGCAGGCTGGGGCAGTGGGTGCAGGCCCATCACATTTCCATTTCTTGAATACCCTCTGCTACCCTGAGGAAATGCTGCACGTTCTTTGCATCTAAAGCAGAGATTACAATACCTGCTAGATGAAAGTATATTTGCCAAGTGCCTTAAGATCCTCTGATGAAATGCTATTTGAGGTTGAAAGGATCACACACTAAGCTAAGGTTCTGCCAGCTGTGACTTGTGGACACGCTGGAGGTTTTATCCAAACACCACCCTGGTCCTGACAGGTCTGTTTCCATCCACTAACCAATCTGTGTACATGAAACAGCTTCATGGACGTGCCCAGGTCAGTGGGGGAGAGGCTTGTTTTCAAACGCAGCAAAACCCACTAAACACTAGGTTACAAAGGACTTCAGCAGTAAAGGTAACTGCTTATGCATTTCATCCTTTCAAAACTCAGAGATACTTTATTACTTAGGGTGAAACCTGCTCCTACTGACATTCATGGCCTTTTGACGCTGTTTTGAAGGTGTTTTTTGAAGTTCACGGTCATTTTGAAGTTTTCCCAGAACAGCTGGGCAAAGACACAGAGAAGATGAGAGAATCCCCTCTACCTTTAAGTAGTCAAATATGCAATGAATGGTAAACAGCAGAGCCACCTTCCAGAAAATGAAAGCATTCACCTTACCATTGCCTTATTACATATGCAGAGCTCCAGATGAGCTGTGTGCTAGGATGAACTTTGCCTCCTCATTTCCACCCTCACGGGAATGTCTCACCATGTAATCATTAATGAACTATCCCTGTAATGGAAGGGTGACTGTACAGTCTGAATATCATTCAGAGCTGCTTTGGGAAACCAGAAGTTACTGAAAATGTCGAGCAGATATCACAAAGCAGCAGCTGACGGCAACTTGGACCTCTTGAAAGAAGCCACTAGGAAAGACCTTAATAGTTCAGATGAAGATGGGATGACACCAACCCTTCTGGCAGCATACCATGGGTATCTAGAAGCTCTAGAAGTCATATGCCGGAGGGGGTAAGTCAATCAGCCTCCATGGCTTAAAGTTTGTGGTTCAGAACTCTAATTAGTGCATCAAGTTTCTATTGTCCCAATAACCTCAGACCCAAAAGGCTGAAAATCCTGGTCATTTCTTTCAATGCATTGCCAAGAACTGTTTCTCTTCATTTGCAATGGTTTAGGCCCAGAACCTGTGAGCAGGTCTGTAAGGGTGGGTGGTGAAGACACATCAGCATCAGCGAGACCATTTCATATGTGGAGCCTGCAGGGAGCAGTTAGTAGGAGCAGGAACCTGGGACCTTGCTTCGCTGTAATGGAGGAGAAGCTGGCCAACAACTTTTGATGATAACAAATCTTTGAAAACAGGCTCTATAGAGAAAAACATAGTTTTAAACATTTTTAGCAAAAAATCTTCCCATTTGCTTCCAAAGTGCAGTTAGTAGACACCTGTGAAGATTTAATGCTTTCCAGAGGCAAGTCACAACTGACAGTTTTGAGACAGTAACATCTAAAATTGTTGTTTCTCTGCTTTTTATAGTATTAGCAATTACCATCATGCTAAAAAGTGTAATACTGTTTCAGAAGATGTGGTATGATCCTTGTAAATCAGAAAAAAAAAAAAAAAGGAAAGGAAGGTTTTCTACAGGTTTATTTTCTAATAGTATTTCTGTTTGGTATCATTTGAATGTACTACATGCTTAAAATGTATTATCGAAATGGTAATTACCTGCCCACCCTCTGTACTCTCTCGCTTGGAGTCCACCTTTTAAGCTGTGACTCTGTAATAAGACCTAATAAAAGAACATCTGCTCTTGTGTGGAGATACAGTTAATAAAATGTTCTTTCTGGGCTGAGATGAAGATTAAGTTGACCTGTATTTTCAATAACAATAGTTTAAAGAAGATTGGAGGGGAAAGTTGAATAATTATATGGATGTATCTGAGTTTTCTTTTATTAAACATAGAATTAACAATATGGAATAAAAATAGGTTTTTCATAGATTTGCTTTATAGCTCACTGAGCTCAGGTGTGGCTGTAATAACACAATAAAAAAGACCTTTGGACTGCATGGTTATTGCTATGTCCTCAGGAGAAGCAAAAATAGATTGACAGTTTTTCAATTCATATAATTAAGGCAGCTCCAAGGAAATATCCAGAGTCAATAAAGGTTTGTCCCTGAACACCTAGAAAACAGAACAACTAGCTAAGGAACAAATAACTTTTTTTTTCTTCCAAAATTTGAGTGAAAAATATGTTTTCTACCATATCAATTGATAGAAGTCATGGTGGATGATACAAAGATCAGAATTTCTATGTATTTGTTACTTAATGTAGTTCTAACTCTTTTTCTTGGTAAAGGACAGCTTTGGAACAGTACCACCCTCAAAGTCTTCAAACATATACATTCACCTCTATTTTAATCCAAGATTTCTTGACACAATCAGCAAGCTGTGGCTGTCAAAGATATGGCTGTAGTCTCACTGGTTTTCCTGGGAGAAGCTGAATTCTAAAAGACGTTCAATCTGTTCTGCAGTCAGTTAATGTTTTCTTATGAGAAAGTATTTTAAATATTTTTAACAAATTTATCCTTTCCTTTAAGAGGTTTCCTGACAAAAGCACTGAGATACAGGATAGTTTTCTTTAGGGTGGTTGCAGATTTTAGGACTCTGAAGTTTGCAGTGCATTCAGCCCTTGGAAAATGTAGCAATACTAGCAGTAAGCCCCTTTCATCTTGAATTAGTTTATCTTCCCAGGTATCAAGAGATGTTTTCGCTGCTTGATTTGCAAGTACATAAACAAAGGCAAGACCTAGCAGCAGATCTGCTCTCTTTTGTGTGAGCCTCTTTCTTGGGAAAGCAGGAAGAAGCGGAGTATGAGAACCCAAAGTAGATGTCAAAGCTTATCCAGAGTCCCACTGAGCTGGGAACAGACACTCTAGTTTGTCATTTGTTTGAGATTCAAAGGCTGGCAGGCTCCAGGGGGAAAAGAGACCACAAACAGCTGTGAAGGGACCTGAGGGAGGAGGGATGACCCAGCACTCACAAGGCTCTGGGTAAAGCAGCCTGTTCACTAATGTGGGAGTTCAGGAATCTGGCATGCTCAGCCGCAGTCAGGCAGTTCCCCAGGGCAGAACCACAAAAGCAGAAATACATACACATGTTTTCCATATGTCTAAGTAGAGAAACTTTGATCCTCAGCTGCCACCTCCTTGTAGAAATGCCTGCATCCTCGCAGCCTGACACACTCAGATTTGCTATTGTTTCTCAATGTGAGCAGCTCTGTGTCTCAGCGCTGCAGGGACCCCTGACCTCTCTCTTGCCAGTGGCATTTCAGGCTGAAGGATTTTTTCGGATTTGCCCCTCAACAAATATGTTAGTGCTTTTCTTCAGAGATACCCAAAGCCAAAGGTCAATGTCTGAAGGAGATTTAGTGATAGGATGTACCATTTCATTCACAGTATAGCTGCCATAGAACAAATTTCCCAAGACACTGAAAGCCTTAAACTCCCAAGAGTAGAGATTCTCCTCGTAACTTTGGCCTCTGGGTCTGAAGTTATGAAAGGTTTTGGGCTGTTGTGGCTGCCTTGGTCATTGATCACAGGATGGTTCTGAACATTGCTAATGTTGATCCTGCCAAATATGTATCAAAAGATTCAAGCCGTTTCTCATCCACAGGCAGCAGAGTTCTGTGTGAAGTCAGTGCAAGAGCTAAAAAGAAAGCAATACTTTTCACTGGCTTTAAATTCAATTGAAAAGATGTGGTATTTTATTTTCAAATAAGCTTCTGCTTTTCAAACCCCATGAGCAAAAGCAGTTTAAGGAGAACAAAAGAGTTGAAAACAACGGCATCTATCTGAGCTTAATCTAATAGCAATAGAGACAAATGTGTAATCAGGGCTTTACTCCTAATCATTTACCTATTACATACCAAAAAGTTACTGCATGGGCTCATTAAATATGTATCACTGTGGCCAGTGACGAATCCTCCTAATAGTGTCCCTGCATTTGATATGCAAAAAGGAAGAATCACCGAAAGCCTTTAAAATATTCCACACAAAAGCTATGGTAACAGTTACATCATTAATTCCAATGAGTGTAAGTCAAAACCTGAGCTGTCAGCAGCAAAGCAGTCAGAGCTGCAGCCCCTTGCCTGCACACGGGTGGCTGCTTATTTCTGCCCCGTTGCAGGAGGCAGTAAGACTGGCAGGGAGCAAAGCAAGCCCTGCCAGCAGCCCTGCCAGACCCTGGGATGACACAAAGGAATAGCCTGGCTCTGTTATGGGAAGTTGCATATGCAGTCACAGTCAGCCCTAATGAGCTTGCTTAATTCACAAACAGGCAGGAATCAGAGCTTATGCCACACATGCAGCCAAACTGAGTGCTCGTGTAAGTAGGTCCAGCACCATTCTGAAGGATGGAGCTAAGATGACTGATTTTCATTGGGCTGTACTCCTCATAGCAAAGCTGAGCTAAACATTTAGTGTCTGTTCAAGCCCCCTGCCGTGCTATGCTTGCATATGTCCAGCTCACTGTATGCTATTTTCTTTCTCAGAGGTGATCCGGACAAATGTGATATCTGGGGGAACACGCCTCTCCACCATGCTGCTTGCAATGGTCACATACATTGTGTTTCTTTTTTGATCAACTTCGGTGCCAATATATTTGCTCTGGACAATGACCTCCGCACGCCCCTGGAGGTGGCTGCCAACAGAGACCGCAACGAATGTGTCAGAATCCTGGACAAAGCTGCCACCGAGCAGAACATGCTGAACCCAAAGAAAGTCTCCAAACTCAAAGCGCAGGCCCAGAAGAATGTGGAGAAGCAAATCAAGGAATGCGAGAAGCGCCAAGAGAAACACCAGCATGAAATGAACCGGAATTATATGAAAGAAAAGGTTGGCACAGTAAATTCTTCCAGAGGGACACACTCCAGAGTAAAGTTGCCTACTCTCTTTGCTTCAAATACAAGTCCTTTCTCCAAAAATCTGAAAGATACCCTCAAACTGAAGACAAAAAAGACAACTGACAGCACAAGAAGCCAGAAAACACAAAGCAGTGACCAAGAGGATGATGCAGGTAGGAGAACTGTGATGCATTTGTTCGATGAGAGAGAGGAGGATGACGTCGGAGAGAAGAACTTTTCTGACAGTGACACTCAGCTCTCCATTTTTAAGAGGCCAGGTCTTGGCAAGATTGTATTTGGAAGGAATTTGGCTGCAGATGTAAATCCTGGAACTGCATCTACTGAGAAAGAAAGTATAAGCTTTAAAATGTCCAGTGAGCTCTTTCAGTATGAAAATGCTGAGAATGGCAGGGAAGATGATGCTGAAAATGGTGCTGATATCCCTTGGCATGAGGATGAAGTCCTTTGGGATGATGAAGAAGCAGAGAACACACCCCTTGAGGTATTTCTGGCATCACAGATGCTGGATGAGTTTCTTCCAGTATTTATGAGGGAAAAAATTGATTTAGATGCCCTGATGCTGTGTTCTGATGAAGATCTACAAAGCATTCAGATGGAGCTTGGGCCAAGAAAGAAAGTCCTGAATGCTGTGAGTAAAAGAAAAGAAGCACTTAAGAACCCTGGAAAGACTGTAGATACTTGCTTGTAAATTAGAATACCTGTTGCTGTAACATGCACACTGAGTGATTATTTTTCTCCTTCCAAAGACCATGCAATTCTTTTCAGAAATCTGCTAAAGCAAAAGGCAGAGGTTACCAACTGCTTTAGCAAGGACAAAGATTTTTCTCTCTAGATGGATGGCTGCGGTACACAGGATATTAATTCAAGCATATTCTGCCAGAAAGAAATAATGTGAAGGTAAAACCCCCCAAACTACAGATTTAAACGTTTTTATCCCTGAACTGCTTATGTGGATTGGATTTCTTGTCAAAATAACTTAAAATATTAGTGAAGGTAAGCCACACTACATTTCTTAATAAAGCCCTTCCCTTCTTCTCCAAAACCACAATGCAAAGAGCATTCCCAAAGCTTGAGAACTTTGTTTTCTCCATTCACTTCTGTTAGATTGCTACAAACTGCCCTTCCCTGTACTGATGTTAGAAATAGCATCTGAATCTAGGTTTCAGTTATGGCTTATCAACTCTAATAGCTTCTGAATGAATGTAAGTAAGACTAATTTACAGCAAGTTTCATGTTCTTGTCAGGAAAGTGTTTTGCTACTGTATTGATATTACTTTAAAAATATATTAACTATTTCATCAGGAGATGTTTGGTGTGGGTTGTATATTCTTTTATCTTGTCTCACTGGACCCAGTTGCCAGCAGCCATCAGGCCCTAAATGCTATCAAGACTGCAATACTTTTAACTACAAGAAGTTGAGGTTTTATTTTCAACATTTTGGATGTATTTCGGTATATCCTCAGCTTGGTTCCTATAGGGTGCATTTCCCATCTGAAGTCTGAGAAACCAGAACTCTTATTACCCAGCATTTTCTGTTGGTTGTTGTCAGCCTCAGTCTGAAAACTGCATGTAACACACACATGCAACTCATGAAAAGAGAAAGAAAACGAGACTGTGCTTCTGTGGAAGCTCCTGTTCTTTACAGTCTGTCTGGAGGCATTCACAGCAGGGTTCCCTTCATCTCTCTCAAGCCTGTTCCCTTGGGAAGACAGCACTATCCAATATGAACTAATCACTCCTGTTGAGCTTTGTGAATCTAATAAGGTGCTTGTAGTAGTCTTGCTCTGGCTGAGATCTCAGATTTTAGAGACGCAATAATTAGCAGGACTTTTATATTTAAATCTCTTTTTACAGCTTTCCAGGAGACAGCTATCATTTTCTCCTTAGGGGTATACCACATTTGTGGACACTAATCCTAGTTAAGAGTCTACTTTTTCATGCTTTCTTCTTTCCACATCTTCTTGTTACTTTGATTTGTATGTTATAATTCCTTTTCTTGGCTGGACTTCATACCACATACTTTCCTCCTTGGATTCCTGTACTTCAGCAGGTTGATATTTTCTTCTATTAAGCAGTCATATCAGAGTCCTGTTCTGCACAACTTTAAATGACTGCTGTGCTTAGCACAGTAATTAAATCAGACAGCATTCCCCCAGACTGTGTTATTAACCTGCTGGGTTGTTTTCATTTTAGCTAAGAAACTCCCAAATGTTTAACAAAGCAAGAAGGAAATGATGAACCTTACATATTTGAAGGCATATGATGAGAAGATTTTGAATTATTAAATTCTACTATTCTCAGTCAAATACTGCCATATTTTTGATTCTTCACCTGTTCAAATGATTGTGACCTGCCCACAATACACCATCAAAACATCAGCGAGTGGTGTCAGTCACAGAGGACCCGTCCAATAACAGCTGGAACTGTTCTGTGATAGGCCCCAAGTATCTCTAAAATGCACTGAAGTCTGCCTCTCTGCATACTCATCTGTAAATCTGCATGACTTTTGTGACCTCCAACAACCAGAGATAATAGCATATAAATTGAGTGAGTTGTCACAAGCATCCAGCATGTTTTGTTATGTCCTTAGGTATCCACAGTAACTCTGTGGAGCTAGCAGATACAGCCCAAGATCTACAGGAATGAGTTCCTTGTCCTTCTGGAACTTTAGCTAGAGACTGAGTAAGAGGCCTCAGAGCACCCCACATAACACTTTTTTTTAATGGAACTCAATCAACCCCCATATATATACCCTTTAAAAATAACTGTTTTTTTAAAAAGTGCAATAGTGCTAGTCTCTTTCTTGCAGGCTGGTCCTGGAAATTGGCCTCTGATATAAAACAGCCATATGGAACAAAAGGGAGCGGGGGTGGAGGAATAATAAAAAGGAACACTCATATTTCAGTTTTCTCCACTTGTGTGCTTTGCTGTTTTCCACATTTTTTCAAGAATCCCTTTGCTTCTTTTATAATTTGGAGTATTTAAATTAGTGAATCCTGGATCTGACTCCCTAGCATCATTTCTATCACATGTGGCATCGTATACCTCGAGCCAAATCCAAACCATAAAACCATAGGATCTCACATAATCACAGCCCTGACCAGTAAAAGATTCTCCTTACTCAAGGATTTAATACTTTGCACTGGACAGATATCAAGAGGAAGGAGTGTGCAGCATGCAATAATGACTGCAAAACTGAGTATCACAGTGGAGCAGAGCAGTCTCAACTAATTTTCCCCTTTACATTCAGTGATCACATTTACTGGGAGAGTGGTCACTGCAACAACTTGAATACCTTCTTCCTCCACTTTTAAAAAAACCCAAGCCCCCAAAAAACCTAACCACCCAAACCAAAAGTAATGGACAACAAAATGAAAGCCAAAGAAAAACAGCAATATCTATTTAATTTTAACATAAAGGCAAGTTACACAATTTCTTAAGACTCTGAATTGTAAGAGAAGGAAACATATAAATTAAGGCTATTATTTCCCCTCAAAAAAAAAAAAAATCTGAAAGATGGCATCCAAGCAACTCCCACTGTAATTGAATCAAATCCTCTTCATGAATTCAGAGGTGCAATGCTGAAGCCAGGCTCCCAGAACCTTCTATTGCCAATGAAAGCTGAGAACACTGTGGGTTTTCAGGACCAGGTTTTTTTTGACTAATTCCATCTACTTTTAAAACACAGAGTCTGTAGAAGAGTACATGTGAAGATAAACTGCATTTGTCTTCTTCCCAAACACTGTGTCTCACTTGAAGTTACAAACCTTGTATTACACAGGCACAGAACTGGGATAATACTGTCCTAAGTAGTAAGTGCAAGTTTCCATAAAGTTCTTGAATCATGAAACATCGGTGGCCGTCACGTCTGTCTCAGCCTAGTGGAGTTCTCTATCACTGAAGTAACAGGTTAAGTCAACACTTACATTTCTGAACACTTCAGAAGTGACAAAGAAGAAGAGACACGTGCAAAAATAAGTTATTTTGCTACAATTAAAAAATGCAAAATCTTACAGAGAAATTTCTGTCCTTGTTTCTGCTGATATAAACAAGATCAATGGAGTTAGATTTCTACCCACACAAACACATCCTTTGGCCCTACTCACTGGTCTGGTACCCTTCCATACTAAAACTGAAAATTACAAACTCTGCCACTTACTACTTCTTTCCAACTAGTTTACACCAGGCTTATAATTTGGACTTTTATATCCCACCCACACTGTACTCATTAACCTCTTCTATACTTATGCACCATCAAGGACTTTAACTGCTTCTGAACTTCTGTCCTGTTGCTCCACTCTATTATACTGGCATCAACATAGTATGACCATGTCCTCTAATCCTTCCAGAAAGTGAAGAAACACTTAATAGTCTGCATGAAATAATATGTAAGTAAAAATAAAATTTCATTAGGCACAACTCCAGCCTGAGACAGGAATTTGTTTCCAGGGCAATAGCTATTTCTCAGCAGATGCTCAATCTTTTGTAAGGCAGTTGCATAACAGCACAAAATTGGAACTTTTCCTTATGTAGAACATCACTGGGTTCCCCCGCCAAGAAAGGATCATGGAAATTCCTGCCCCAGCAAAAACCCACTGGGATAAAAGAACAATTACCGATTGATCCATGGTACAGCCAAGCTGAAAACACTTGCCTGTATATTTGAAGTTTATCCTACTGAAATGAATTTGCACAGTTCCAACCTTCAAGAAGCTTAGAAAAATAACTTAAACACCATAGATTACTAAAAAAAAAAAATAAAAAAAATCCCCCCACTGAATACAGTTAAGTTAAATCAAAACACGTTTTTAACGCTCATATTTTGGGTGACTCCTTGAAATATGAAAATGGCAATATCCCACCAGGAATCATAGAACAGTTTGGCTGGGAAGGGACTTTAAAGATCACCAGTCCCACCCCCCTGCCATGGGCAGGGACACCTTCCACTAGCCCAGGCTGCCCAAAGCCCTGTCCAACCTGGCCTTGAACACTGCCAGGGAGGGGGCAGCCACAGCTTCTCTGGGCAACCTGTGCCAGTATCTCACCACCCTCACAGTAAAGTATTTCTTTTTTATGTACTAAGAGAGGTGTCATGTATAGTTTCCTTCCAGTAAAACACACACAAGATTAGCTCAGATTTTTTCACATTTTAAGTCTTCATGAGCCAGGCCTTTTACAAAAGCAGTCAGAAATCTAACTGTATGGAGGCGTCATTATTTATATAAACTCCCACTCAGGAGTGTGTTCTTAAATGAAAAAACATTGGGTCTGAGGGCAGGGAAGGGAGACTGTGGAAGTTGAAAGTAAGGATGATGACCTCCAGATGCCAGTCTGAGTTGGACTGTAAGGGGTATCCAGGAATCAGAGGTGGGCTCTGTTTCCAGGAGACTAGGTTACTGTCAGTGTAGTACTGAAACCCACAGATGCATTTAAAGTGCCATCACAGGCAAAGATGATGCCAAAGTCCATTCTCCAAGCTGATATATTCTACTCTAGTATGAATTACTTCTCTGAAAACATAAAATTAACCCACACACTTGTGCTACAAAAATAATTAGGGAGGAAAGGCATTGATTCCAGAGTTACACCAAAATAGGTAAAAACACCCTTGTTAGTGTCACTGCAAACATCTAATACTTGTCATTACATGAGATACATTTATTAGTAATACTGCAGGTATCTAATACTTGCCATTAGAAAACTGAGAAATTAGTCTAGTGCTGAAATTTTACTTTTTGTTCTTGAGTGTTCTAGAAGGGCCACATTCAGATAGAACAGGTGCCTTTCTTGTTAACAGAAGATTGCCAAGCACAACAATTTTCTTGGTCTCGTTGACATTGTAGACTTCTCTAGTTACCAGCTGACCACGACTCATAAACAAATTTTGCTGCTACTGTATCTTCAACCGCCATCCCTGGAAAAGAATTAGTCACCTTCAAACAATTCTTGTTTGAGCTGTACAAAATAATTTAACTTTGAAAGGAAACAAGAGAACTCAGGAAATTATCTACCTTGACAGGAACAGAAATCATTCCCCATCCTGAACAACTAGTGTTACATTCAAAGTTTATAGCCATCATGTTACTGGTAGGTGAGCTATATGCAGTTAATGTAATAGCATGAATCTAATTTTCAGTGTTCCTATCACAGCTTGGCCCTTTTGGACATGTCATGCAGCTCAGAGCATGGTAACCCATCACCACTCCCACTCTTTGCCCCAGACATCAACTCCAACCCCACAGTACATTGATGCATTGTCTGCAGGTCAGACAGACTCCAGAGGCATAACAGCAGGGCATTCAGGTTGGAGCTGTATTAATAAATGCTGCAGTCACATGTTGAACAACTGTGAAATGGAAAATGTACTTCTTCCTATTGTTTGATTGCTTTCCTATCACTTCTCATTACATCAATCCTGCCAGATAAATAAAAAGGGAAATAAAAAGGGAAAACACAAATGACATTCTAGTTTCTGCTGGACAGTGAATTGCCACAGCAATTTGTGTTTTGTAGATGATCAGCAGCTTTCCCACGCATGGGGGATCTAATAATAACAAGGCATTGTTTTCCATCAAACTTGTATACAGGAGGGGTTGTTCTTACCCAGTGATTTAAAAATTGTTGTTTTCTCAGGCAAGGCTGGTTTTGTACCCTTCACTACCTCTCCCAGCTCAGCAAAGATCTCTGCCTGTGAAACAAATACGTATTTATAGAAAACAAAAATATCCAGACATATGTTATGGGAAGAACTTTTTTTTTTCCTGAGTAGTTTCAAAAGAACGAACTCATCCAGTTCTGCTATCCCAGAACTGATTCCTTTCCACTGTGAAGCAGATCAGTATTCAGACAAATAATACATAAACAAATAAATACATAAACAAAAAACATAATCATAGAAGTGTGGAATGGTTTTCAGAGAAAAACAGCTGGCAGACTTTCATCAGTCAGTAAGGTTTTTTTACAGTAGATAGTTTGTTACTTATCCAACAAAACACACGGGATTCCACACACCTCACCATAGCTGGACCTCTTATGTTAAACCTCAAAAGTGGAAATCGTATTTGTTCTGCAAAAACATTTAAAAGAGAAAATGAAAACTCCATTAAACCTAAAAGGGTCCCTGCTGTCAAACTTTTGCAGATCTGTCTGCTTGGTTTCTGTCGTCCATTCTCTAGAGGCCTGTTGTCTGTCAACCACACTGAAATCTTATGGGAAGAAAGGGTTTAATAAATAGATTTGAAAAATATTTACCGTAGCTACCAAACATGGCAGGAAATGTAAGTCTTTCAAAAACAATACACTGTTGTTGTACACCGAGGCCAATGCTGAAAACAAGCTACTGTAATACAGTGTCATGTAACAGTTGATACACAGGTTACATTGTTTTGGCACAGACATATAGAAGTCTCAGTATGAAACAAATTTATCTTTCAGCCTGTGCCTAGGAAGTATTAACAACTGTATCTGATGCTCTAAAAAGTTTCAGTACATCACCTCATTGGTACCAATACATTTCAAATGCAAGCCAATTGCCACAAAAATAAATCCATAATTTAAGAAAGTCTTACCCCTGATAATATAACATCTCCTGATTCCGTAAGAGCAGCTTCTCTGGAATCCACAAACAGAACAGAATTCTTCATCAGTTCATCGTCCAGTTCTCTCCAGTCTGGTCTGCTTGCTCCAACAGCTAAGACAACAAAACTGATGAACTTGGGAGAAATGTTTAAAACAAATTCAAACCACATTTTGTCCAAAAGACATGTGTGAAGGAACAATGGACATTATTGTGGAAATATGATATACAAATAATCTGATGTTAGCACTGAAAACATGTTGATTGATAAAATAACAGAAAAATAAGATGTGCCTGAACAACTGTGAAAAAGCCTGGATTTCTCTCAACCTGGCCTCAGCTGTAACGCTGACATATACATGGCCTGTTTCTATACAGTGCTAACCTTAATTTCCACCAATGTCAACGATGACATTGTGTCCAATTCTCCAAATAACAGCTCATTAAAGTGTACAGCATCCTTAACCTCTATTCATGCAGATGCTGCTGCTGACGAGTTTTAAATTGCCATATTTATATTCCCATAAGCACAGCCAGAACGACTGGAATCAACTGGCCTTTGCATTTCAACCTGCTGAAGCATTAAGCTGCAACTCATCAGGAAGCAGAAGTGAGATTATTTGCTAGCACTGTTTCCACTCTTTGGTACACTAGTCAAAGTGCTCCTTTCAAATATTGCTCACAGAGAAGGGGAAGTAGCACTGCTTAGCCTTTCATCATCTCCTATCTATACAAGAAACACAAAGATATGTGTAACTTCATAGAGCTAACAAAATAAACAAGACTTTGCCAGCAGCTTTGAAAGTGACACTGATAAATAGGTGTGACACAATTACTCTTTTCTCCTTAGAGGCACTGTTAGAATAAACTTTGATCATTTGGTGGCACAACTCAGGGAAGATAATCTTAGGGTTCTACAGACCACAACTCTTCTGCAGACAATCAGTAACCTGTTTCTGCAGCCGTCAAATTAAAACATTTTGCTTTTTATTTTTTTCAGAGTTAACAAACATCTGATACAGCTTCTCTAAAACATTCCATATTTGATTTGTCAGTAGAATAGCCTTGTCAGCAAACTCTGAGTAGCTGAGGCATAAGAAAGTCACATCCCTTTGTCCATTATCTCTTATACCCTTGTCTTTCATCAGATCATTACCAAATGCCTTGAATGTTACAGTTATTTTGATTCAGATTGTGTTTGTTATGTGTCTATAGAGAAAAACAAAATCTTCTCAGGATAATTAAGGGATTCTTCAGATGACAACCAAAGTGTTGTGCAACACACACTTGCACATCCAAAAAGAGAGTTCAATGTTACTAACTAGAATTTTTAAACCTATAGCCTTCTACTATTTCCTTGTAACCTAATAAGCAGTACAAATTGATCAGATTATGGACTTTCGCTTACCTGGAGCAACTGAAAACAAATCAAGGAGCTTAACTTTTTAAATACAGCAAGACCACTATCAACTTGTTATGAGCTAAAAACAATAAACCCAGTTATATTGTAGTCAAATGTTTTTTAGAAGTGTCCAATGGTTATGGAATAATAAATTCCATGTTGCCTGAAAGCCTCTTCAAACAGCACAAAAGCCTCAATGGAGGAAAAAAAAAAAAAGAAAAAGAAAAAGGCAAAGAAAGAAGAGGGATCTTCGTGTATGTGTTGCCTCAGTGACTGTAGACCTTAACTGATTTTGGTTGTACTTCTGGCTTCCGGACCTTGACATAATGCAGACAACATTCAATGACAAAGGACTAAATTGAGTTTGAAAAATTGGTAGGATCCTGCTGGAACGTGGGACCTTTCTTTAAATCATTCCCTTTGACAATTCACTTTTGTTTTATTACCACGCTATTTAGAAAGTGCACAAGGTCATCTGAACCAGGCCCACAACTAATAAAATAAACAAATGTGGGCACATCCAGAGACTCCAAACAATAGTTTTGCAACATCATTATAAGGCAGGTAAATTAAAAAAAAAAGCGCCCCCCCAAACCTCACCATAATTAGATGTCAAATTATGAAGTTCTTAAATCAGTTATTGCATCTTTTTAACTCAAAAAACCCATAAATCAATGTGACCAGCCTAAAAATGAACAAATAGAGGAGCTTACAAAATTGCATGAAGAAAAGATGACAGCTGCTAGGGAAACATTACAATGAGCAGGAATCACTTTGGAGATAACATGTTTGTATGGGTTATGTAAATGGAAAGCAAGGTGAGCATCAGGTGACAGCATGGTGGCACAGATGATGCACTACTAGGGGAAAAAAAAGCATATCCCATGCTCTAGCAAACATCCAGTGCTGGAATATGCAGGATTTCTGGCTCCAGACAGCCAGAAAGACAAGACTGGGAAAAGTGATCCTCGCTAAAGGGGAGAAGTAAAAATGAAAGAACATTCATTCTGAGAAGCAGAGTACTGCTTTTCAACAGTTTTTGATGCTAAACAATGTGCTAATAAATGTATCCTTTACATGATGAGAACATAGCATACCATTGATATGGGCACCTGGTTTTACCCAGTCTCCAAATAAAATTGGTGTTGTTGCCATAGTGACTGTTATAATCACATCAGCCCCAGTAACTGCCTCCTGAGCAGAAGAGCAGACTTGCACTGGACCATTAACTGAATTAGCAAATTTCACTGCTTTCTCTTTGGTGCGATTCCATATCCTGACCTTCAAGGAAAAAAAGACAAACAGATTAGCTGGGAGAACTTCTCTGCTGAAATGGAACACTGTTTCAATTTCTAGTAGGTAGTTACAAATATCCTAAAGGTGAGGCCTTTTTTGTTCCCCTTTAATGTTCTCATCAAACAAGCAACTAAATTTCATGTGTGTGCAGCTACATTTGAATGACTGTTTTGTAATACCAGAATAACAGCTCCTTGTAGAGCTGTGTTTATAAAATACAAATATTTTTAATAACTATATTCAAGGGAAAGTCACAGAAAGCTTATTCAAGTATGGCATACACAGTAGGATTTTCTGACAGTGAGAAAGAGCCATCTGATATTACTTTGTTTCCAATTTTTTTTTTTTTTTTTTTAAAGGCCAACATATGAGCAAGAAATTCTACAGCTGTTCAAGTATTCTTGGGTTCTGTAGAAACAATATCAAAATATGATTAATCCCTTAAATTCTTTGGTGGGTTGACCATGGCTGGATGCCAGGTGCGGATCAAACCACTCTATCACTCTCCTCCTCAGCAGGACAAGAGGAGGAGGAAATAAGATGGAAAAACTTGTGGGTCAAGATAAAGGCAGTTTAATAAAGTAAGAGCAAAGGCCACTCACAGAAGCAAAGGAAAACCAAGGATTTCTTCTCTACTTCCCATCAGCAGACAATGTCCAGGCACTACCCAGAAGTAGAGCAAGGTTATATGTACTGAAGCCCCAGAAAACATATGTTGTAATAACAAAAGCCACCACTCGCCCCTCCACCTCTTAGCTTTAATTGCTGAGCAGAGGCCATGTGGTACGGAATATCCCTTTTGGTCAGCTGGGGTCAGCTGTCCTGGCTGTGTCCTCTCCCAAGATCTTGCCCACCTTTAGCCTACTGGTGAGGGAGGAATGTTGGAGAGACAGCCTTGATGCTGCGCCAGCACTGCTCAGCACCAGCCAAAACACTGGTGTATTTATCAACACCTTTCTAGCTGCCAGTACAAAGCACAGCACTACAAAGGCTGCTATGGGAAAATTAACTCCATCTCAGCCAGATCCAATGCAACTTCACTGGCTGCAATTATTTATAAGTGCTCCTGAAATGTAATAGAGAAAAATAAATGTACCCTGTTAAGATGTGTTCATTACCTCTTTAAACGTGAACAGCTCTGTGAAGATATCATAATGGCTGTATGCTTGAACACCAGCTCCCAAAATGCATAGCACTTCTGTGAAAGCTGGCATTAACAACTACACAGTATCAAATATAAAAGAAAAACATGTAAGGACAATACATTAACAGATATGACAAATATATATCAAAATACTAAAAAGAAAGCAGTATCCTTACCCCTTTTAAACAAAAAATGTTTTTATTAAAAAGCTAGTATTTATTCATATTAATATAAAACAAAATTCATGTGTATAAATTTCAATGCAAAAGCTAGTGATGATAGCACCAAAATCCATCTTGGCCTAATTCTGGTCTTGGAATGAAGTCTGACTCTTAAAATTCAGATTTAACATGCAACAGCATGAGCCAGTGGAAATTCTGGGGCCTCAGCACTCTCTAATATTAGTATAATATATTACACCTCTGTGACTAATTAAGTGCAAAACCATAGTGTTGATGTTTTACACTGGCTGAAAACATGGCTCATAATACCGAAAGCTATCAGTACTGAAAGTGGTAGCTGCAAACTAGTCCTGGTAGCCCCACACTAAACATTCTTTTTCAATTAACTGAAGCCATAAATTATACCACAAGCATAATTTGGCATTCTAAGAGCCATAATATGTATGCATCAAGCATTGTAAAAACAGGGATAGTTCTGAGAAACAAAACCTAAAATTCATTTCAGTTGTTGCTTTTGGTTTTCTAGTCTACTTCTTGCCTGTGATTCACCAGTACTTGGCAGAAGGAATGGAGGGCTGCTGGAATCCAGCCCTAAGCTATCCTTGTGTCTTCTTTATGCATTTGCTGGGGCCACTCACTTCTATGTAAAAAGCTTTAGAATTGTCTAGGCTCTTACTTTTTCTGCTGCAAATAAATTGAAAAAAATATCATTGATCTCATTTTTCAGTAGCAAGAATTCTTTTTAGTGTTCCTTTGAAAGACTCTGAAGCACTAATTTCAAAGGTTCCTTGCATAAAAGCATGGGTCTTTGAAAAGCAAATGCCATAAAGAGGACAAGATGACAACTATGAGCTAAACTCAAACACTCCTGAAAATTTCCCAAAACAACAGATGACAGTGGAGAATCTGACCTTGAAGTCCCTTCATCAGGCAAGCTCCTTCGAGGCCAGCAGAGCCTTAACTGTGTAAAAACTGTCAGAACTGCCCAAGTATAGACTGGCTAAGACGAATGAGGTCCTATAACCTCATGTCCAAGGAATCCATTGTAAATTGTTCTGTCCCTTGGTTCAGAGGAAGCTCCTGGGGACAGATTCTTCCTCCAATTTTTTGTCAGTTTAGCTCTATTGCCATGGATAGTCACACTGGCATGAAGACTGCCACTAACGAAGTGGTGAGATCAGCCTTCATTCTGATGCAAAGCTGATGGGTGAAAACCAGGAGTATTTTTCAGCTCTGGCCCTCTTCTTATTGGCTCATCCTTTGAGGTGAGGACTAAAACCCTGCTGTGCACTAGATGATGACTTGCTCTCTGCCCACTATTAACAGCCCAGCTAAATATAGTTTTAAAAAAGAATTCAAACCCAACAATTTCCAATTGAAATTTAAATGATGTAAATCAACATACAGCAAGGTACACCTCACCTGTCTTCAGGCACTGAGGTTTATGGCTGTAGTCAGGGACAGTCATCTGGACATCTTCTAGTGACAACAGAGAAACTAAGAGCCACCTCTGGACAAGTCATCCATCTATCCTGGACACCATCTATCTTAAGAGGACCCACACTGCCCCCTGGAAATGTGCCTTTTTCCTCTTTCTCCAGGTCCAGTGCAAGCCACATGGCCTGGCCCAACAGCAGATGTACAGGTAAACAAAATTGAATTTATCACATCTACATCACCCAAAGCCATAAAGCAGTATGTTAAAACAAACAGAAAAAAATGACAGAGGAAGACACCTCAGTAAACCCCCAGAAAAGGTACATACCCAGAAGGTACATACATCATCATAAACCTAATTTAAAGCTGGATTTGATGAAAATTCACATACATCATTCCTTCTAGTTAATTTATATATAACACCACTAAATCTGTTTTGATTTAGGAATCAGAAGACATACCTTGGTAGCAATTGCAGAAACTGCAGCTGTTCGTTTTGCTGTAATGACACTCCCATCTAGGACCTTTAAAAAAGTTCAAACTGAAATGAACACTGAAAATATAAGTAATACCACACATATTCATCAGGTTTGTGAATTATGTGATATTACAGAGCATAGATAAAAATATAAAATTGGTAATTACTATTACAGCATCCACAAACCATACAGTCACATGTTTAAAACTGGGCAGATTCTCTGTCTTTTCCAGTTCTTCCATGCCATTCCACCAACACAAATGGAGTGAAAACTGGCCAGAGCTGAGCCACCTGTAACTCACACAGCTCTTTGTGCACTGCACTTCCCTGTCTCTCCAATGCAGGGACTAGATTGCTCTAACTGCAATACTCTGTACTCCAGTAAGACCAGGGACCAGTGCAAGCTGGCAGTCATTCATGGCATTGTCTTGGTCTGTACAAGGGAATGGCAGGGAACCATGGAATTCCTTTAATGTGTATCACACACTGTGGGGCACTCCTGCCTCAGTGTGCATTAGCTACTGTATACAAGCAAATTAAGGGGCTTAAAAAGCTGAAAGATTTTCTGATACAGTTTAGGAATAAAAGACCAATATAGTTTTCCTGACCAGTTTTGGCCCTTTAATAATGACTAATGAAAATGGTCAATATTCTTAAAAAATTCTTAAATTTTTTTAAACAAACAAATCAGACTCTGAATACTGTGCCCTATTCTAACAATTGTAAATCTCTTTAGATTTAACTTAAGATGGTTGAAAATCAATTCTTTATTGAACAAAGGTTTTTTTTCTTTTCAAACGCAAGGTAAATTATTCTTCATCATTCCTCTCTTCCAGTCACCCTGTAAGACATCAGATACCCTTCACATCACATGTAGTAGTAAAGAGCAGAGCACAGTTTAACACGTACAAAAGATACAATGATTTAGGCCAAATGCTCATGGGGCACAAACACATCTTTGCTGATGATGCAGATAAACTCAGAGCAATTTACACCAGCTGTAGCTTCTAAGAATCAGATGGGAGAACTGACAGAACACAAACTGGGAAGAAGGCAGAAGCATACATAAAACTCACAGCTTTTAAAGAACCATTTCTGGGGTCGAATAAGAGGACAGTCGCTTGGTGAGAAGGGACGGAGGAATCCTTCTTGTGCTCATAAAAAGTCACCAACTTGGTTGTCAGAGCATCATCTGCGGCACTATAAGCTGGCATGACTCCTAGGAACCTTGTAAGAGAATTACGTACATTACTCATGTACCTTTAGCATGGGAGCCTACAGCGCCGTAGTGGTTAACAACGGCTACTGACCAGCTCCTCGGTAACCAGGTACCCGGGGCCTTTCCGGGTGCTCTAATTCCTCCCACGCCGTCCCGACCCTTCCCCGCCGCAGCCCGGCCCCCCGCTGCCGCTGCCCCCGTTCCCAGCTCTGGC